AGGCTCTTCGCTCGCAGCTCGCCACAGTTTCCATGTTCCTCAATGCCACCTCTCCTGTGGCAGCAGCTAATTCGCCCCTGCAATGCAGCTGGTGCCATTTCCTTCTTTTTTCAAGTAGATGAGGAGTCGGCGTCTCCCCTGGGCAAGATTCTGGTTCTTTGTTACAGATATTTTTTTCCCTGTTTTGCACCTTCTCTCTTTTCTCCACAGAGAGGTTTCTGCCCTGATCAGTAAGGCGAGACTGGCAACATTTCTATCAGATTCTTTCCCCTTTAGCTTCCCTTCAGGAGCTTCTTCCCTTCTTTTCTGGCTCCATAACCAGTGCAATTACCTCTCTGATGATTTCCTGGATTTTCCATCTGCTCAAAATAGGCACTTGTGAGCTCTCTTGTTAATTAATGTGTTCTAAAATCATTAAGTTCATCAACCAAGCCTTATCACTTCCATTTTTTCCATAACAGTAAAATCTATTGCCCTAAGTAAAACACAGGTATTTTAACATTCAAAATTCAGTAAATCGAGTTATGAACAGAGGCTCATTGCTTAAAGCAGGAGTTGCTGGTATCCTGGAGTATCAACAAGACACGAGCATGCTGTACTTACTTGTTATTAAGGCTTTGCACCTCTGGCTCAAACTGAGAATTTCAGAGATTTCTGTAACAAATTCTTTTTGAAGCTTTGGAGTCTGACTCAGAACACTCTCTCTACTTCAGTCTGCATTGGGTATTTTGTTAACGGTATTTTAAGCTGCGCCAGCTTTTGCTCTATGTTAGTACTTCTGGTCTTCCCGACTGGCAATGAATTATTTTAGCAAAGGCATGTGTAAACAGTAGTCTGTGACGGGGGTAGTAAAACTGACAACTGGTTGTGAAGATGTTACCAACAGATAATTTTACTGAATTTGTCACATGCGGTTTGAATGCAGGAACAAGGTACTTCGCGGACACACAACACCCCAAACAGAACAGAATTTCGTAAAGGAAAAGACCTATCAGATCTTTTAGTTCTCCATTCTGATAAATTTGGTAACAAAGGACATCACACAGCTTGAATGTTTTATATGAAGCAAAAATCCCTAGTAATTGCATCCAGGGAGGAAACAAAATAATGCGTAGACTGAGAGAAATGATTCTGCTTTGTGTGCTGCCTAACACACAATCTTATTTACATTTTAGAGTTGAGGGCTATAAAAAAGAGGTATCTTCTATCCCCCAGCCTACACAGATCAAGTCAATCTCTTGGATGACAAAAGACACAAACTGTTCACTTCTCACTACACAAGGAGCAGATAACAAGGTAACTCTTACTTCTATAACTGCAGTTACAATACCACTTCTGGCAACCAAAAGAAAGATTATTTGCCAGTAACCACAGTTCTTTGAAATATACGGCCCATTTACATGCTGGTATTGCAGGTGTTCTTATTACCAGCACCTCTGCAGATGCCGATTTGGCCTCGTCAATACCTGCAGGCGTGTTCATGCCCTAACTCATCCTGCAGCCATATAAATGCCAAGCTCACCCTATGGTGCCAAGCTTTGCTCTATGCTGGGACCTCAGAGTCCTGCAATTCTCAGGGGAGTCCTCCTCTTTCCAGCAGAGAGGGGGTAAGAGCTTGCTAGTGAACATATCTGAAGCTAGTGCTGAGAGTGTCAGTCCTGAAGGTCAACTACAGGACAGGGATCTTGCTCCATCCAGCCCACTGATGTGATGATGTAAATATGCCACCGCTTGGGCAAGCTCAGGCAGCATGAGAACTCATAACACGCATTTGGCACTGCTATGAATCCCAGCTAACAACATGAAAAGTCTGTGAGGCTGTTGGATTGCCGGGGTGAAGCTCAAGTTCAGACTGAGAAACATCAGTAATTATCTCTGAAGGCGAAGGAGGCAAACACCACTGCGTCCCTTGGCAGACGCTGGGGTGCAGGAGGCGGTTCAGGCAAAAACA